TATTACTGACTGTGATCATTGAATCATTGTGATCAGTCTTGACCGCGTCGGAGTTATTGCATCCTCCACCCCTAGTTCTCTTCCTAGGAAGAAGCTTTTCAGATAGACCTCTCGTGGTAGGATCAAAAGTAAATGGTGGTGTACTATATTCTGCTGATGATGGGTGTTGAAATGAAAATTCATAAACCTCCTCGATGTTCTCATCTTGATTCACCGTCTCTTTTCCTTGACTCCTTTCACCAACTGTGTAGATACGAGGACATGTACTATCACTCATCCCAACAGCAAAACTACCAGTTGCTACGTCATCTCCAAATATAATTTGGAGATCTTCAAAATGATCAATCGATTCAGTTTGCATATGTTTATGATTTGGATGTGCCTGCAGGTAAATATTTATTAAAAAAAAACTCTTAACATTGTGATTATTAGAAAATAAATTATTAATCAAAATTTTATGAAAACCAAATAATGCATACCTTTAAATAATCTCTCCACACCTCATCAGGAGCTGTAAACTTTTTTGTTTCAGGATCCCACCCAAATCCAGAACTAAAACGTTTTAAATCCAAGTAACTTTGGTATAAGTTTTTCAAAAACTTCAATCTACTTAGATAGTTCTTGTGATTCTTGTTGCAGCCAAGACGTTTATTCAGAGCAGGTAATAATTTACTCTCCACTGTTAGCTTGCCGATAATTCTACTAGAATCACGCCAATTTTGTCTGATTCCTTTTACAAGTTATTCGATCAACACGTCGGTTTCGTCGGGAGCCTATTGGTTATATGGACCTTTTTCTTTACCACGTGGTGGATTTCCCATCATAAATCGCTGTTAACTAATCATAGTAATAGTATTATATGATAACTATATTACTTTATTGAAAATAAAAGTTTCAAAATCTAGAACAATTCTAAAGAAACAAAGACAACCAATGCAATAAAAATATGAAAACTAACGTTCAAAACACATAAAAGAAAGAAATAATACAAACAAGACAAAAAGAAAAAAGAAAATTTATACGTACCACTGTTTATCAAGTTCTTGCTAATGATGATGTTGTTGAGAGCGTGAAAGAGCAACGATATATATAATGAAGTAGAGGAAAAAACAATTTATTTCACAAAAATAAAAAAGGCAAGAGAAATATATTTCTAATATGATCTTTACAATGATATCTACAAAGTTAACAAAACTCTACAATAATATATCCTTAAGAATGAGAAAGATTGTGAGAATATGTCAGATTCCGTGATACAATACTTCTATAAATATTAGAGAATCACGAGATTCCTAAACTATTGTAGTCATTAAAAATCCACGTAAATCAAGATTGAATAAACCCCCGGTCTTGGTATAGTATTTTGGTTATATTTGTGGACCTAATTGGGCCCTATATTAGATTATTTTTGATAGGGCTTACGGAAAAATGGACCCGATAACCAACTCAATACCCGAACCAAAAAAATGGGTTAGAGCGGGTTAAAATTTTAGGAAATTTCCTTATTGGGTAGAGTTTTAGTAAACCCGTGGATATCCGATTGGTCCGGAAATTACCTGTTACCCAAAAAGGGTATTCAAAAACTCAAAAATTAATTTAATATCCAAAATATTAATTATATTTAATCGTATTATAATCTAACTATCTAAGATTATAATTATAAATCTAAATATGTCAACTAATTTTGGACCTAAATATCCAAAACAACTAAACTATTCAAAAATTATTTGTTATGTTTGTCAAAATTTAGTAAAATATATTAAATATAATTAAATTTATTAAAACTTAACAAATTTTAAAAAAAATTTTGTTTGGATACCCGCTATCTATATACAAAGTACCCGTTTCTATTTTTTTTGAGTATTTTTAGGGCCTAAATTGTTTTTTCCAAACTGACCCAAACCCAACTGGAGCTGACCCGAACCAGAACCGAATATTTAGAATTATTCTATTGGGTAGTAAATGATATACCATTAATCCCAAACCCGAACGGGTTCTACCCGAACTCGAATGGGTTACTCATATGTCCAGCCCTATTCTCTGATTTAATTATCTAAAAACTCCCAAAAAAACATATGTTTTGCTGACTACTTTTTATTCGAAAAATTTTACATCCTCTTCTGCCAAAATTATTTCTTAAGACATCCCAAAACCCTTGGAATAATGATTCCATGAATGAAGAATCCTAATTTGAATATACCAAGAGGTTTTGAAAGGTTTTAAGTTTTTGATAGGTGTGTATGTGAGAATGTACAAATATCATGATGGTAATCTGCTTATTTATAATTTTAACCTGCAGTATACCGCATGTAGGTAGCTTATATTTTAGTTAAACTAAAAACTTTTATTGTAAAGATGATTATACATATATGATATTATTTTATTTGATTTTAAATGTATAGTAAACTGCGAGTTGTATATGTTTTGTTAATATTATTTATATTGTTTAATGTTTAAAATTATACACTTGTATTTTGATTGTTAATTTAGAGTTTCACCTATAGTATACCATCTTATATTAATATCGATCTAAACCCGTCAATTCTAAGATTTTCCAGCTTGTATTAAAAATTGAATCACATCATACACATTAAAAAATCTAATGTGTTATTAATTATTGTAGTATATAAGATTATAAAATTTCAAAACAATATGTATGAAATTGAATATAAATATTCAAATTATGAGCCAATACTCAGTAGAAAGTTTTCTAAAATCTATTTTGACCCGTTATAATATTTTTTCATGTATTGAACAGTTTATATTCGTTTTTAAAAATTCAAATTATGGCATATGCGAAAAAACTCTAATTATTTTTTTATAACGATGATATTATTTTTTCGCAAAAATAGAATCATATAAAGATGAGAGGTGAACTATAATAATTAATAAAAAATTAATATAATAATTTAGATATCAAATCTAATTTGTTGATTTTAATTGGTTACTTTTTTGGAAATTAATAATGTATTTCGTTTTTTAATTAAATTTAATTAATTCAATTAGTATTTGACTTTTTAATTCTTAAAGAGATGAATTAATTTACTTTTTAAAATTTTATTTCTAATGGCATACCTAGGGATGTCAAAATGGGTCAAAATTCATGGGTCAACTCAACTCAACTCAACCCATGAACCCTAATGAGTTGAAAATTTTGACTCAAATGAGTTGGTGGGTCAAATGAGTTATTGGATCAATTGGTTTAATGAGTAAAATGAATTGGGTTGTAATGGTTAATGGTTTCAATGGTTTACCCAATTAACCCATCAAGTTTTGTAAAATTGAATTAAACCAACTAAAATCTCTAAACCAATGTCAATTTAAGTTTAACCAACACATCTAAACCAATTTAATAAAATCATTATTTTCCAAATTTCTTAAATATACAAGCGATGAAATTGAGAAAAAGTAAACTCGTAATTTTTCCACAAAAAAAACATAAACCTATGATTTTCCCGCCAAAAACGAAAAGAGTATATATACAAAATAACTTTTGACTTGAAAAGAATAAACAAAATAACTTTGGACCAAATAGTACTTGTCTGCTACAGAAATTTTGGCAATTTTTGGTCTATTTTAGCCTTTCTCTTTCTTCTTCATTCTCTTGTTTATTTTTTCCTATTTTTTTACGAGACTTTAGCTATGGAGTTCTCTTTCTATCTTCATCTTTCACATAACTCATCTTTAGATTCACCATGTCATTTTCTTTTTCTCTTTCTCTCTGCCTCTCCTAAAATATCTTCACCACCTCTCATAAAATATATCATCATATCTCTTTTGTTCTCTCTTTCTTTTTTCATGTAAATCTCTATATCTTTCATTTTCTGTTTTCTCTTTTCGCCTGAATTCTCCACCATTATCGTTGTGATATAAGAAATTAGATCTGATTTAAAACAAATGTATGATTTTTTAAATGCATGTATTTCAAGAACAAAACATGTTATTAACACTGATATATTAATATTTGTCATGCTACCTAACAAAAACTCATGAAATATATAGATATTTGTTATGTTATCCAATAAAAACCCATGTAATTTTGTAACAATTATATATGTTTGTTAATACTTCGTGTTCGATAAGAGAATTGTATGCTTTTTATAAATATATCATGTTATTTCAAAGAAACACATTATTTCAGAAAAACATATATATTGTGTATATATATCGTGTATTTATTTAAAAGAATTGCATGCCTATTTGTAAATATATCATGCTATTTTAGATAAATACATAAAAACTTTGCAACTACAACTATCGGTATTGTTGTAAAAACAAAAAAAATGTAAGGATATTTTAGTATTTTCTCCACTCCAGAAAAGGTTATTTATCTAAGTTTTCTGACACAGGGCTATTCTGTTAGTTCTTTTCAATTTTGTCGTTACTCTCTAATATTACCCAAACAAAAACCAGTGATTTTCCCGCCGTAAACAAAAACCCATGATTTTCTCGCCAAAAACGAAAATCCGTGATTTTCCCGCCAAAAACGTAAACCCGTGATTTTTCGGCCAAAAATATAAACCCGTGATTTTTCCGCCAAAAACGTAAAACCCGTGATTTTCCCACGCAAACCCGTAATTTTTCTGCCAAAAACGTAAACCCGTAATTTTCCTGCCAAAAACGTAAACCCGTGATTTTCCCATCAAAACGTAGACCCGTGATTTTCCCGCCAACACGTAAACCCGTGATTTTCCCGCCAAAAACGAAAACCCGTGATTTTCCCGCCAAAAACGTAAACCCGTAATTTTCTCGTCAAAAACTTAAACCGGTAATTTTCCCGCCAAAAACTTAAACCGGTAATTTTCCCGCAAAAAACGTAAACATGTGATTTTCCTGCTAAAAAAGTAAACCCGTAATTTTTCCGCCGAAAACGTAAACTCGTAAAAAGTGGAATCCGTAAATATCATAAGTTTGATGATAGTGAATTAATAATTATTAATAATGATAATTATTTATTATTGTTTTATAATAATAATGAATTAAATTATTACTTAAATTGGTTAAACTATTTATCAACTCAACCCATCAAATTAAATGAGTTATGCGTTGACCCAACTCATTTTGTAAATGAGTTGGGTCAATCCATAACTCATTTAACCCTAAACTCATTTGATTATGAGTTGAGTTGAGTTGGGTTACCCATTTTGACACCCTAAGCATACCTATGTAATTTTTTACAAAAAATAAGGTTACATTTAAAATATACTTCCCAAATAATATAGTAGAATTTCGTTTTTTAATTAAATTTAATTAATTAAATTAGTATTTAACTTTTTAATTCTTAAACAGATGAATTAATTTACTATTTAAAATTTTATTTCTAATGGCATACCTATGTAATGTTTTACAAAAAATAAAGTTACATTTAAAATGTACTTCCCAAATAATATAGCAGGATGTATGAATAAAATATTTGCTCCCTGGTGTATTACGGGTTAAATCCTAGTTATGACTTTAAATTAGGTACTACATATAAAGTATAGGTATAAAAATTTTAGAAAAAATTAAAATTTGGGTTGAAATTAACCTTATGTGTTAGAAGCAAAACGTTTAAAAAGTGTGAAAATAAATAAACGAATATAAAAGTCATTGATAACATTTGAACTCTAAAATAATCTATATTTTTTAAAAAATATCTCGTAACTGATTTTTAAAACCTTATTCCATCCTTACACATTCTTTTTTGTTAATAAAATTTAATTATTTGATTTCATATTCGTGTTAAAATCGGATCGATAGAGATAGTCCATGTGCCGCAAAAAGCTCCGACTTCTCTCTTCTCTCTCTTTCATCTTTCAGAGAGAACGAAGCTTATCAATTTTGATTTCACCGGTGTGTTTTTCCGGTGACTTTTGTCCCGCTTGAGGCGGGTTTATTGTTTGGTTGCATCGACTTTCTCAGTGGTGTAGGCTGGCTTTGCTTCCGGTGTAGATGGCTTCATTTGCATCTTCATCCGGCTATGTTTCTGGCATCGATGGTTTCGTCAACATCGATGGTCGGCTCTGGCTTCAGATCTAGCGTTGTTTATCTTTGGGTGATGATAGGCTAGCTTTTGGTCTGACTTTTTTTTTTTTTTTTCTCCAACTCTTTCGAATTCCAATGATGGAACAAATATCTTGGATGGAAAGAGCTTTCTCAATAAAAACAAGTCTATGTTTGGTGAACTTTGAAAGTTGAAAAGTTATTGAATGAAGAAAAAGATGAAGAAGAATTACAGATCTACAATAAATGGAGTCATAGGCCATGAATGGATGCTGATTTTCGATTCAGTTTTTGAATTTAGATTTTAGTTTATAGATTTTAGATTTTAGTTTTAGATTTTTGTTATTATATTTTTGTTTTAAAAACCCCAAAAAATTGGTTTTTGGTTTTTAAGAAAAATAACATTGATTGAGTAAAAACTAGTTTTTCTAAATTTTAGGAGAACTAAAAAGCTAAAATCATGAATGGAAAACAATAACAAAATAGTTTTTCTAAATTGTAGGGAAACCAAAATTTTAAAATCTTGATTGCTATAAAAACAAGTTTTTGAAAAACAAAAACCAAAAACTCTTACAAAATCTACAAAACATTCAAGACCATATTCTCAACAAAGCTACAATTGGGATTTTGCTTTGTTTCTTCAGGCAAAGATTGAGATCTGGAGATTGATTTAATTTTCTGGTGCTTTTGGCCGGAATTGAAGCTTTCTGACGTCGCAACGATCTGCAGGTGACTCCAATTTCTTCAACTTCGCACGTGTCTATCAACCTGTTTCTCAGTGGCCACGTGTTTGTGTTGTGTACAACTTTTTCTTCAGTTTAGGGTTTACTTAATTGGGTTTTTGTTTTTTTGGGCTTTTGTTTCTTGTTTTTGGGTTTGTTTGTTTTTAAGTGTGTGTAAACTTTTGGCCTATTATATTGGCTGATATAAATAAACACACTTGTGACAAAAAAAAAGAAAAAGAAATAGTCCATGTTACGATCCTGCGTTAAAAATCAAACTTTCTATAATAAAATATTCTTATATTTATGCATGTCTTATATATTCGTGATTCGTACTTATAATTATAATTGTTATGAATTTGGTGAATATATTCTTATATTCGTGAGTAACACGTGTCAATATTAGTCAAAAAAGGACAACACGCAAACAAGAAAGGAAAAAGAACGACAAGACGACAAAAAAAAAAAGCATAAAATAAAAAGATACGAGAAACGTCGAATCTCCAAACCGTTTATTCACCAATCAAAACCATGGGAACTCCAAATCCTCGCACCTGGTCGGAGCTCCCTCCTGATTTGCTGGGATCTATCTTTAATCGATTAAGCTTTCCCGATTTTCACCGCGCGAAGATTGTTTGTTGGAACTGGAACTTGAGTTCGAAGCTAACAGTTCCCAAGAAAATAAGATCTCCATGGCTGATGCTGTTTCCAGAAGGAGACAACGAAGATGGTTCTGTGCTACTGTTCAATCCAGAAGAAGAAGAAAAGATTTACAAGACAAAGAGAGACTTTTCAGGGCTTCAATTCCTTGCAAACTCGGGTAAATGGTTCCTAGTGATAGATTCTCTATTCAATCTCTATATCATTGATGTGTTTAGCGAGAATAGGATCGATCTTCTGCCTCTAGAAGATTCTCTATTAGACAAAGAGGAGTCCGAAGATTTAACGGGTCTTTTGTGGGTAGACGAACAGACGGCAGAGTACCTTGTAGTCTTGTTCTTCAACTTCCCTAGCGGAAATGTTGGCTTTTGCAAGAAAGGTGATGATCATTACTCTAAAATTCCGCTGCATTGCGGAGTCCCGTGGAGGTTACAAGGGTTAATAGATGCGGTACTCTTGGGTTACCGTCTTTACATCCGCACGGAGGGTAGTTACATTCGTATCCTAGATTTGTCTACACAACAAGGTTTCGAGGAAGTTAACAAGTATGAACCATTCCAAGTGTTTTCTTCAACTCAAGATTGTAGCTTTGCGGTTACAACACGAGGAGAGGTTTTGTTGGTCAAGAGCATCCTCGACAACACAACCATTGGAAGCCATAGGAGGTTTTGCATCTTCAACAATATAGACTACAATCCGGAAGAAGAGGTTGATTCTCTAGGTGATGAGACTTTGCTTCTTGACTTAGGTATTCTCGTGCCTAGCATCTCACCAAACTCCATCTATTTTACCCTTCATGGTCATATTTATCGGAAGGAGCATTTTAACCTGGACATATGTGTGTTCAATCTCGAAACAAAAACCCTCAAACGCTTCCCTAGTCTCGTGAATATGAAGCTCAAGGATGCTCGATGGTTTGTCCCTGGCACTTGAAATTTCATTCAAACTTTTAATTTAGTTTCTTGAGTTTATAATGAATGTAAAATTTTAGTTAATCCAATAAAAACCGTTTTTACAACTACGTGTTACTTTGAGTTTGAAGTTTTGTAATTACATCTCTTGGACAACGCTTCGATCCTTTGCCTTAGCTCGTATGACAGCTTTGTTTTTTCAAAAAGCTTGGGATATCATAAAAACGGATTTATTATTTCTTGTAAACTCTTTCTTACAAAATGGAGTCTTCGATAAACGGTTAAATACAACACATAAATGTTTGATCCCAAAAACGGAGCGACCGACAAGGATAACGGAATTAAGACCTGTTAGTCTTTGTAATATTGGGTATAAAATTATTTTAAAGATTCTATGTCAAAGACTTAAGACGGTTCATAATATCGGCGGCATGGGTTCTTATCTCGGCCTACCGGAAAGTATAGGGGGTTCAAAGACAAAAATATTCTCTTTTGTTCGAGATAGATTACAAACTAGAATAAATGGGTGGTCGGCAAAATTCTTATTGAGAGGAGGGAAAGAAGTGATGATTAAATCGGTAGCTACAACATTGCCAACTTATGTAATGTCTTGTTTTAGGCTTCCGAAAACAATCACTTCCAAACTAACAATTGTGGTCGCAATATTTTGGTGGAGTTTGAATGGGGAGTCTAGAGGTATGCACTGGATGGCTTGAAATAAATTGTGTAGTAGCAAATTGGAAGGTGGTTTAGGTTTTCGGAGTATAGATGATTTTAATTCAGCTCTACAATCAAAACAGTTATGGCGTCTGATAACGGTTCCAGATTCTCTTTTTGCCAAGGTTTTTAAAGGGAGATATTATCGGAAATCCAATCCATTGGAAAATATAAAATCATTCTCTTCGTCTTATGGATGGAGACGTATTTGTTCAGCTAGATCTCTGGTTAATAAAAGACTTATTAAAAGAGTCGGTTCAGGGCATCCATCTCAGTTTGGAAGGATCTGTGGATTCCGGCTCAATTCCTGAGACCAGCAATAAGTAATGGTTCAACTATTGACTCATCTTTAAAAGTCCAAAATCTAATAGATAGTTCAAATCCAAATCAATCACTACACCGGAGAACTATCACAGTATTATCGAGAAATTGGTACCTGGATGATATATTGAGCAACGTGGAGGGAATTGTTGAGTGCCGCCCATTGAAGAGCGTAGAAGCCATTATCGTCGGGAAGTGAGACGGAAGAGCCATTATGTTCGACGAAATGTTTAAGTTGGTGGAGATCGCCGTAAGCGGAGGCGGAGAAGACGTCGGTGATGGTTGGTGATTCGGTAGGGCTTTGGTGAGAGTTGGAATCTAGAGGCACTACTTCGATCTCTGATGAGTCCATTGTTACTCAACGATCTGAATTGAAATTGAAGTTTGAGGACTTAAGAAAGAGGTGAATGAAATGGGTCGGATCCAGAGTGGGTATTATCTCGGATCTCGGATCTTGGATCTTGTTAAAGTCTACTCTTTCATACTTTGACTAACGCTGATTATTCATTTGTCATTCCATTCCTCACTTAATTGGAAACTAGTTTGTTCGTTTCGTCGCAGCGGCAGCGGCAGCAACAAACACTACCGTAGATTATTGTTTGTTTTGTTACCGTAGTCGTTGACGTAGTCTTTGTGTATGTTTTTAATACGTTTACGGCGAGTGCCGGTTAGAGCAGTTGTTTCGGCAAGTCTTTATGGGTTTTTTTTTTGTGGCACACTCTTCTAGAGGCCCAAAATTAAATGAAAAATACCAAAATAGATAAGGACGCTCCTTATGAAAGGGATTTTTTGATATTTAAGGGACCCA